TTGACCTCTAATTTTGACCAATCAGCGGGCGCTTTCTACATGTCGTTCACCGTTGTGTCATATGCATGGATTAAAACAAAATACCTAGATGCAGCAACAAAGGCTGTGGTCATGCGCTCAGAGCGTATTATGTTACGCGATATGCACCCGACTGTTGTCTTACAATTACACTAAATTTGAATTGACAAATCATTAAGTCCTGATTTGGGAACGAAATGACATCACAATTTGTCACCTACCTTCTTCAATTTCATCTTTTGGTTGGGGGGGGGGGTCTTTTGGGGGTTGTCCGTTTGGCAATTGCCAGGTAGTGTAGGTACTGTGTATATTCTTTCTGCAAAAAAGAAATCAAAAATAGCTTTAACCCTTACCATCCAAATGCAGCAACATGCAACACATGTCTATGTGACAAGCCCAGACCTGCCAACCAGTCTGATTTTGCTGTATTTTGTATGGGAATTTGTTGAAAATACAAAAATGTATGACTATACATTCACCCCCCCCCCCCCCCATAAGTACGGGTTTTGACCATTTTGACATGCCTGAAAATGCGGCTGTTCAAAGCGGCTGTGAGTGTAGATAAAATCGGCCGAATCAACGTACACTCATGCATGTGCACTTGGACAAGCAATGAAGTGTTTAAGGTTTTATGAAATACGAACTCAAGGGAGGGAATGCACATGTCACATGTGCATAGATAATTAGGAAAAGGACCGATCACGTGGGAGGGTTTAACCAATAAAACGAACAGAGTCAAATAACGCAAACACTCTGCCAACTAGTACTATTGTGCCGTATTTCGTACGGGAATTTGTTGAAAATACGACTACGATTTTTCCCCATAAAAAACGGGTTTGACCAATTTGACACGCCTGAAAAAATCCTAGTTCAAAGCGGCTGTGAGTGTAGATTTCTGCCGGATAAAATTGGCTGAAACAACGTAAATTGCAAGCAGCCAAGCAAACGATGAACTGCATGCATGAACTGAATCTGGTTTCGCGATTCCCAGTGTACGATGTACATACATGTGCAAATGCATGTGCACAGTATCACAAAATAGAACCAGTCCATTCCCGGAGTGCCGATACTTCAAGCAGCGGCACCTCGCCGCAAAAAATGTCTGTATTCGTACTAGGCCTAATTCGTACACACACATCCCAGTAGGAGTACATGTACGTACGGCAGATCTTACGTGCAGTCAACAGACTTTCTTTTTCTCAGTGCGCGCACGATACACAGAATACACTTTGACGTCCGATAGTCACAACGTGCGTTCACGTGGTGTTCCGTTAATTCAAACATTTTTTAATAGTAAAGTTTGATACTACGTTCTGAAACGAATTCAAAAATCTGAAAAATCAACAATAAAAGCAGGCGGTCCAAACCGAACCAGGTAATCAGCCAGCAAATGCAAGAAATTTATTTCTTTTTCAAGCAGGCCAAGTTTGAAATAAAACTCTGTTCGATCGCTGTGTATTTTTTAAACATTCGGTGTGTGCACAAGAATTATGATTTACCACCCGCAGGGAGACCTCTGGTTATTTTTTTATAACTTTAATTACAATTATTGAACATGGAGCATTGCAGCCACATTTATTTGTTCGTATAGCTTGTCTATGCATATTTTTGAAAAATACAGTTTTTTTTAAGAAAAACACAACTTTTGCAGATTCAGAATACAGTTTTTCGATCCCAAAGGTTGGCAGGTATGCTCTAGTTGTGTGGACCTTTAGCCCTCTTCACACGACAACGAAACTTAATATAGCTCTATGGTGTACTTACATCTAACCCATGCTTGTAAAACAGGTGGTGGTCCAGTTGAGCATATCCCCTCTCATACATGTAGCATTTGGCCCCGGGGCACTGTTTGAGGATTCGCTGATATGACTCCTTTGATTTTTTGGACTTTGTAGCTGGTTTCCTGTTGGGAAAAGTAAGGTTGTCAATGCTACATGTAGTAAGCTATGTCTTCTGGTAGGTATTTGGTCTCTTCAAAAACTTGAAGTACAAATGTACATGTACAATGTACATGTACATTGTTAGATTATTTGATAGGGTTAAAGCCTTTTGCACACTATCTGCGTTTCGAACCGTGTTGAAACCTACCCGTTTCAGCCCGGGTTGTTTTCGACACGGATCGGACAGAGACTGTTCACACTGTTCTTTACGAGAACGGCCGCTACATGAACGGTGTAACGTTCAATCCGGCTACGGCCCACGTGTATTCACACTACAAAATCTCATCATGGATCACATTCGGCACGGGGCGCTGCGATGATTCTCTCAATCCAATAATGCATTGCGACGCACGCGGCTGCGCGCACGAGGTTCTAACGGACAGGATGGTGTTTAGTGTAAATTTACCGCTCTATGAAAGACGGACTCATTTTCGACACGGTTCAGGCCGAAAAATGCAATTTCGATCCGGGTTAAGATTTTCAACCCTGGACCCTCCCAGGGTTGGAACTGGGTTGAAATGTTAGAAGTAGGAAAAGGGTTGAAAAAATCAGTGGACAGTGTAAAAAGAACTTTAGAGTGATCATTTAGCGTACACATGCACAGGAATCATTACTAACAGTGTCGGTCATGATTGTTTCTGTTGTCCTTTCATAAACACTGCAAAAACAGAAATGTGATGACGTCACCATGACGTCATTTTTTAGCCTGAATCTTCAGATGGTGGTCTAAACGTGTGTCAGGTTTGAAGTCGATCAGATGTGGGGGAAAAAGCCCAAAGTACTGAATAGAGAAGAAACACTTAATCTACATGTACAATGTAGTTCTTACGCATAAGTTGCACAGACCTTTGTACTACATACCAAAGTCTTTCCACTGAAATATCTGTATAAAATTGTGTGGGAAAGATGAGAGTAAGTAGACAAATGTTATAATAGCCTTTTCTGTATTTAACCCTTGGAAGGCTGGTCCCCCCCCCCCCCCCCACCAATCATCCCTTGTCCCCTACTAGTTGTTGGGAATAACACATACAAGCAAATTAAAAAGGTACTCACGCTTTGTAGCTCTTCCCCAGAATGTCGAAGCGATTCCTGTTGTCGCGGATGTTATGAAATCGCCGCAGGTGGTGTGCGAGATAAACACAATCTCTGTCGCAGAATTGGCACTTTCGTGCAATTCGGTTTGACTGAAGTACAGAAGTGATATTCAAGTATTATGATAAATCGTCGCTTTGCTCACGAAGTGACAAAAACCTAAAAAATTGACAAAAGTTCATTCTGAGATAATAGCATTTGAAGTTATTCATTTTTTCAAAAGACATTTTTGACCACTTTGCAGTAACATAATTCATAAATTGTTGCATTGTCGGATAGGATACGATTTGCTCTTTGTTAATTCATAGTTGTTTGTTAAAAATAGTTCGTAATAAACAGTAATTCATTAATAAAACTTTTTTGCACTTCGTGAGAACATCAACATTTTGGGTTCCATATTTTGCCAATAACTTTGTACACAGTTTTTGTTACTTCGTGGGATTTTTTTCGACGCAACAAACTTGTTACTTTTGCGCGTCACGACAGTTGAGCGCGCGCGCGTCTGTTCTTTTTCAACATCGTTTGCGCGCGCGTGTATGCTCCCATCCTTCCGCGTGTAGACCATTGTATAATTTCTGGCCCTGCTCACGAAGTGACTTTTTGTCACTTAGTGAGAACATTTTACACATTTTTACACTTGGTGAAAATGAAAATCACCGATTTCAGGCTTTTTGTCAATTGTTTGTTTACAATAATTAAGAAAGTAAACAATATTTTGCCTTGAAACTTGGTCACATTGTTCCTTGAGACAACTATAATAAAATGGCTAGTAAAACTCAAGATCGAATAATTATCGATTTTCGAGGTTTTTATCACTTCGTGAGCAAAGCGACGAAATGTACAATGCCGTTATGAGTGCAAACAGTTTTTGGGAGGTGAGGGTTTTTTTTCCCCAGCTCTACCTGAACTTTGAATGAAGTTTGTTTTAAAGTGTGCCTGTTTTATGTTATTTCTTTGCATACTACATGTGGCTTTGTGTCTTTAGGTTAAGTGACCAGTTTGTCAGTATGTGCAATGTACTCCAAATTAATATGTAGATTGAAGCCTTGTCACACAGTGCCGTTTTGGTGATCCAATAATGTCACTACTTGAGAAATTTGCCAAACTGCAGAAGGACTTGACAGCAACTGCTCTGAATGGAAGAGCTTGTATTGGGGACTTGTGGGGGGGGGGGGTGCATAGGTTGTGACAGACATTGGGAGGTCCTGACAGAAGGGCAAAGTGCATGTTCATAACAAATGAGAGAGTCAGGGAATGTCCCGTCCTCTGTCCTATTCACAACAGGGAGAGGACACAGCAAGGTCAGGGTTTTCAAATGGCTTTGAGGTGGGGCCAACTACCAACTGCATGCACAGAGCATCCACAAAGCTACCGGTACATGTAGCTGCAACAATTTGTCTTCCGCTCACTTTTTTGGGTTGTGACCATTGTATTAGGCACAGGGCTAGAGAACATCACTGTGTGACAGGCATTAGAAAGAGGAAGAAAAAGATCAACATTCTGACTGACCCAATAATAATGATAATAATTGTGCTTATGTGTAGGGCTTTCCATCGTATCAACAATCTCTTCAGAGCGCTTTACAATTATTACCCCGTTCATCAGGCCATCGGACCACGCAGTAGCTGATATCAGCGCTAAACCGGTCCTCGACCCTCACAGGTACCCATTTGTACTCCTGGGTGGAGAGAGGCAATTGTAGTTAAGTGTCTTGCCCAAGGGCACCAATTCCATTTTTCCTGGTACGGTTCGAACCGATGCAATTTCGTACATGAGGCAAACACCGTAACCACTCGACCATGGAGTTCTACCATGTGACCAAAACCAAATTAGTTACTATTTTATGGCCTTACAATAATTTGGATCTTTTAGAAACTCACTGGGTGTCTCGGCCCCTGTTTCGTTTTCTTCATTTCGAAGCGCCTTGCACTGTACTCAAAAGTGTCGTACATCTGGCATGTCTTTGCTTCTTTATATTCTTTGTTGTCTTCGTTATCTTCTTCGTCGTTGTCTCCTTCACCTTCTTTGTCGTCGTCTCCTTCACCTTCTTTGTCGTCGTCTCCTTCACCTTCTTCATCGTCTCCTTCACCTTCTTCGTCATCTTCTTCGTTGTCCTCTTCGTACTCGTCATCTTCTTCATACATGTATTCTTCATCTTCTTCGTTGTCTTCATCTTCTTCATCATCTTCTTTCTCTTCGTGTACTTCTTCCTCTCTTCCTCCCTCCTGTTGCTCCTCCCCTCCTTCCCTATTTTATTTTTTGGCCTTACTTATCATACTTGTCCGTCTGATTGCGAGCGGTATTTTTAAAAGGCAATCCGTTTTTTAATAGCTCTTTCTCTTTTAAAATAAATGTATGATTCTAATGCTGCCAAATGTTAACAATTTCTGTCAGAGGGGTACTAAAAGAGATGGACCTGCAAGATAAAGTGACCGCAGAGCAGGCCAGGAAGAAATGGAATAACTTATCGCAAAAATACAAGGTGAATACATGTACATGTAGTTATTTTACCAATTCCATGGAAAACAGTCTTTGATGGCTGTCGGGTGTAGTAAATAATTTGTTTAATTTACCCATTATTTAAATTCCTCTCCCACTTACTCTGGCTAATATTCATTGAAGATGTCCCACTGGTAAATTTGCACCTAACTGGGCGTTTTTCTTTCCATGTTAGTCGTATTTTGTTGTGTTCTTTTACATGTGTTCTTCTAATTTTGTTAACACAATAATTTGTTTTAAAGTTGATAATATTTTGTCATTTCAATTTACTTGTTGATGTAAGTCTCAGTTTTCTTGAGAGACGCTGTTGAAATTGTTTGCATTGTTTTGGTTTTGTTTGCAGTCTTCAATTTTGCAAATCAATAAACGTTAATTCATGCTTTCTTGTTAAAACAAAAGCTGCCTGTTTCTCTTCATTAAATGTCTCATGCCTTTCTTACATTTTTATATCAATATGCAAACCGAATAAGATGTCAAATGGAATAGCAGTATAGGACACTGTAAGGGATATACATTTTATCTTCTAAAATAAACAATAAAGCAACATTCGTGCATATGAAATTATTAAGCTCAATGGAAAATAGATATTTACTACTTTTTTGGTTTTTTTGCAAAGTGGCAATGAAAAGTTTAAGGTTTGCAATTTGGTCACAAAATTTAAAGGAAGTTCATCAGCTTATTGCAAACACAACTGGTTTGTTGGCCTTATCAGGCCCAGTTCATACCTCATGTGAGAAGCAAATGCAAATGAGTGACATCAGGGCAACTTTTCGCACTTCAAATTCGCACAAGTTGAACACATTTCAACTCGGGCGAATTTCACAGTGAATGGCTTTATGATGTTAATTTTGCTTCACAATCGAATAGCAGAAAATATGAGCCAGCCAAAACTGAGGACTTCCGACTTGCGTAAAAAACAACTTTTGGGACATAGGTAGAGGACTGGGGGAAGGGACACGTGCCAAGCTACAATATCCTGTGCCTCCAGGTGTAAGGTACTCCCTCCTCACACCCCAATACATAGTGTATCAATTTCTGTTTGTATTGTTAGGAATTAAAGAACCCTCCAACAGGCACAGGTACTGAATGTGATGAAGACACAGTCATAACGTGGCCCTTCTTCGAGGAAAAGGATAAAGTCCTTGGCACCCAACCAATAATGGTACCACCAAGCCTGGTATCTTCACTCGAAGATTTTCCAGGCCCTAGCAGAAGCAGTGCCACTGATGAGCCTCCCGCTATGAAAAAATCCAAAACCAAATATCATCAGGAAATCCTAGAAATGATGAAAGACCAAAATGAGCAATTCAAACAACAAGAGGAGAAAATCATACAGCAAAATACTGATCTGTTGTCTTTAATGGGTAGGCTGGTTGCAGCAGTTGAAACTAAAAGCAATGAAAATTAAAACTGGGAATAAATACCTTAAACACTTTCAGCACCATTGTGAAGGGTTTAAATTTCAATTGTTTAAAATTCCAATAAGCAAAGTGTGGGTTCATAAGTAACAAAGCGATACGCCCAACAAAAGTTGGCAGTCTTTACAGGGAGCTATTATATACAGTATCATATCATATAAAGAAATATTAATAAATAACATTGAAAAGATGCACATTCCACTTTATCTGTAGGCGAATATAAGTTATAAATGTTAATGTCAACTTGTTATAAATTTTAACTTTAATGCTTAGGCCATATAAAACGAAATGCCGTTATTCAGTGAATATTAAGTGAATTTATATATTGACACTTCGATAAATTGTTACTTCAAGTGTTTACTTTAAATGTTTGAATGTTGCGCAATATTCTTAAAATCCGGTTCATTGTGAACGTGAACGGAAGCGAAATTGTCGCCTCCAATGTCCATGGTTACGTGATCACATGAAGTACAAACCGGACTTTGCAGTTTGTTGCTATTAAAATTATTGTTGATTATTGTTGTTTAATTATTGTTGCTGTTTCTTCCAACAGCAGAATTGCTGTGATGGTCTGCTCCCTTTCAAGCATTTCAATTATCATGATAAGTCTTGTTCATACTTCATGCAAACGTGAGTGCCAAGTGAACTTTGCGGTGATTTAATTGCTTGTGGGATGACTTTCTAAACTTGAAATGTGTTCAAATTTACATTTTAGCAAATCTTAACAATTTCTTTATTCGATTTGCTTCATATTTTTGAAGTACATGGCTTTAGGCGACTAGGTAATCTGAAAGTGTTCTTTTCATTTGCAAAAATCTCCACCATGGTAGGGGTGTTGAAGCATAGGAAAATATCACGCAATTTCTGCATTTGATAAATTATTCCAAATTTAGTGGATTTGATATTGATAAAATTATTGTTGCTCAGTTCGTGAAGATGCCGTACAATGCGGCCCACCACTGCTGCCAGTTCGCCAACCTGCAGAATTCTTGTGATGACCTGACCCGCTTCCCACTGCAAACATGATTATTATTTCACGATACGTCATGTCCATACTTCACGCAAACGGGAATGCCCAGCCAGCCAGTGAAGTTTTACGGCAGATTGATTTCGCGGCGAATGACGGATTTGCTCTTGTTGAATTACGTTTCATTTGCGCAAGTTTCCATTATGACGTCTTCACGGTTAGCTCGCATTCGTATGCGTGAAGCATAAACAACCCTTCTAATTGCATAATGGTAAGTCATTACCCTTTATTCACCCCAATCAAAATCACTGGACGTTTCCCACCAGGTTCCAACCTTCTCACGGATAATGCGTTGTCGTCAAAGTTGCTTGATAAAATAGCATGACATTTGCGAGCCGCGCTTGCTAATATTTTAGAGACGAGTGCACAGGATTGCGAGATAGAGATTTTTCCAGTCCCGAGTTGTTCTAACTTTTTATCTCCGTTAATACAGCTGAGTGAGCTGACTACGCAATTTAATATGATCACTTTGCGCCTAAAACTAATTGTTCACCCGCAAAGAACGACGTGACAGCAATTCTCGAACGTCATGCTAATTCCGTCAACTAAAAACTTATGTGGTTAGTTCAGCCGTTGATCCTCCGATCGTCAAATTTTCTTCTTCACAAAAACTATGCAAAAAACACGTGACTTACAGGGTACCAGTCGATAACAAAAATCTACAGTATTCGATGCCCGGGACCAATTCTGGGTCGGGGTGTGCGTGTCATTATCAATTTATGTGGGGTGCAGGTTGAACTGTCGTAAAACCTGACCGTATGAACTCTTGAATTGTACTTCGTGTCGTTCATTATTCTGTTTTCTGCAATGAACATCGTTCGGAATATGTAACATCCTTTGTCAAGCCGACTGTGCGTCAAAATGAAAACGATTCTCGAACGTCATTCGAAGTCCGTCCAAATTATCGAACGTCATCAAAATTCCGTCCATTCTGACGTTCGAAACTACGATGTTTCAGAATATGAATCTTTTTAATAGAGCATGGTAAATGGATTCTTTTACACAAATGCAATGTACGTTGGCCGATAAACATGTAAGGTGAATCGTTTTCGTATTGTGCCAATATTAAATGAAAACAAGGCAGTATTTGTCTTGATTTTCTGTCAAAATTATGTGTTTCTTTGTCGAACTGAATTTCTGCATGGGTCTTGTTTTGTGTGATTTCATTAATTTTATATGAAAGTCTTCTTATGGGCACGTGATTCAAAAAAAACATTTTTGTCTCTAAGCCCTTACCTTGACAACTTTTACATAAAGATACAAACTGCCTTGATTTTTACTGGTAATTACTATAATTACCAAAACGATAATAAAAAGCGAACTTCTGCCTAAACTATCCCTACATGTGCATTTTTATGAACTTCAAGATGTATGTCTTGATGACAGTTGTTTTAAAACATCTGAAATTATTTTTTGAAAAATGCAATGTCAGGTTGTTAAATGCTATATATTTTGAAGAACCTGCCGAAATCATGGCATCTGGTGTGCTGCCATTTTCAAGAAAAGTAGTATTTTTGTATTATTTCCAACACTGGTCGGCTGACCAGCATTGGAAAAACCTGGTTTTTTTTTTCAAATACTGTCCCCAATTTACCTTATTTAGTCAGTCTGCATTTTGTTTGCAATCAATCACACAACCCATGACTGGGTACAAGCTAGCTGGACTGTTTCCCTGACCTTGCAATTGTGTATAAATTGCTCCATTTCAATTTAAGTGGGGTAAAGGAACTAGACTACAAGGACATGATTGTCTTTCTTGGTTTTTCCAGCATCTACAAACACACAAAAAAATATTCATTCATTTCTGAAATTCACAAAAAAAGCAAATGTTGTTTATTCCCTTTTATAGATTTAATCTGCACGATTGCAACCACTGATCATGCAGCATTCAGGCGATGATCTTTTCTCTTGAAAAACTGCTCTGGATACTTGTATTGTAAAGTCAAGCCAGACTGCAAATACAAGTTCTGTGTGATCGAGTGAGAGCGTTAGCACAGGTCAATTTCTCCCAACAATTTTACTTTTCATTATTATGTTTGAACAATATTTAGTCACACCTTTTACAACATGGTAATAGGTGTTTATTTTTATGGAAGTCTATATTTGTAGCCAAGTGAAAACCACCACTCCATCATCCAGGATTATTCAAAAAGAGGAGGATGCATGCCTTTTCATTTTAATTTTTGTCTGCCTTTTTTAA